GACAGCTATAAAAGAATACTTAAACATACTTTGAGTGCTGGTGTATATGTAAGTTATTTGATTGGAAAAGTAACTCTTTGAGTATCTTTTTTTAATGAATGTAAGTGTGTATCCTAAGAAACCTTCATAATCTTTGTGTACCCATACATTAATCTACTATGGAACATCAATGATTAGAAAAATAAACTAAAACACACACTTAAGTAAAACTGAAATAAAACTTAGCTTATCAGACCAAGAGGAGGTTTATTCCTGCATCACTTAGTCATGTTCCTGCATCACTCCTTTGAACCATTTGGTAAATATGCATATTTAGATTCTCCACACAGTTCATAAACAGATTTTAAGAACTGAAATAATGAACCTAAATGATTAGTTGTGAGTTCAGGCCCCCACTAACAAAAAGAATAACGCAAAAAGGCTGCAATATTTGCTAGCATAGATGAAATAATGATTTTAAGCTTTACTCCCTGTAGAAATCTAATTTTCAATAAGCCATCCATTTCCATCCATTCCATGTACTGTCTCAAACAGCCATCCATTTTCAGAACTTCTATACCATGTGCGTCATATTTGCCCGGTGTTTGCTACAACCCTTCGTCTCCCTCACTCAGGTCGATCCCACGAGCAGCCTTTTATCAATTTTCTTATATCACAGCGGGAGGGAGGAAATCCAATTCTAAACAATAAAAATTGCCTTAGGGATAATCAGGCTCGAATTGATGACTTCCACCACGTCAAGGTGACACTCTACCGCTGAGTTATATCCCTTCTTCATTCTTCAACAACTTAGAGCCAGGCCTTTCTTTTGCACTACTCTACTATATACTATATTATATTTATATATTATCTTAGGAGTGTAACTTACTTAAACAGGTAAACCTGCTATTTGTTAACTTTGTTTGAAGTTTCAACTCAGTTCCCACAAGTGTCTGTTTTATTAAGGATAAACAATACTCCGTATAAATAAAAAAAGTTGAGAAGTTTGTAAAAAATTAAAAAGATAAAGAAAAGTAAATAAAAAAAGAAGATGAAATGAGATTAATTCAGAAAAACTCTTCTATTCTGTGATTAATAAGGTTGCCTTACCTTACGGAGGAATTTAAACAACAGGCTAAACCGAATCAAAAGCCCCAAAAATCAAGTATAAAGCAGCACCTCTTCGCTTCTCAGCAGTTTCTGGCCAAAAAACAGGACATCCACATACATTTGTGTAACAATTACACATTTTTACGCGTTAATGAGGCAAAAGAGGAACCCGTTAAAGCATTACCAAAGTATTTGCAGTACAAACTGCAAACGGAAACCTATTTAATAATAATAATAATAATAATAATAATAATAATAATAATAATAATAATAATAATAATAATAATAATAATAATAATAATAATAATAATAATAATAATAATAATAATAATAATAATAATAATAATAATAATAATAATAATAATAATAATAATAATAATAATAATAATAATAATAATAATAATAATAATAATAATAATAATAATAATAATAATAATAATAATAATAATAATAATAATAATAATAATAATAATAATAATAATAATAATAATAATAATAATAATAATAATAATAATAATAATAATAATAATAATAATAATAATAATAATAATAATAATAATAATAATAATAATAATAATAATAATAATAATAATAATAATAATAATAATAATAATAATAATAATAATAATAATAATAATAATAATAATAATAATAATAATAATAATAATAATAATAATAATAATAATAATAATAATAATAATAATAATAATAATAATAATAATAATAATAATAATAATAATAATAATAATAATAATAATAATAATAATAATAATAATAATAATAATAATAATAATAATAATAATAATAATAATAATAATAATAATAATAATAATAATAATAATAATAATAATAATAATAATAATAATAATAATAATAATAATAATAATAATAATAATAATAATAATAATAATAATAATAATAATAATAATAATAATAATAATAATAATAATAATAATAATAATAATAATAATAATAATAATAATAATAATAATAATAATAATAATAATAATAATAATAATAATAATAATAATAATAATAATGTGGATTTACTCATAGCCCAATCTATGTAATTGTGGATATAGGACAAAACGATCATCCTTTCTTTTTCAAATTCAGTCATCAATCTAATCCTTCCCTAACTATACCCAGGTAGCCAGTTTTCAGGGAGGAAAAGTAAAACCCATAACCACAGCAGCACAAATTCAGGCTTTTTATTTATCTCATGTAAATTTAAAGTGATTTTTTTCTAGACTAATATGGCCCTCAGTTTAAAGACTTACATTGTCTCCGTTTGTCTTTTTTCTATCAATGTTCACTGTCAACCACTTTGGCTTTATAACAAACTAATAAGATTATCTTTTTTTTATATTACTGATTTTGTTAACTTTTTTTCAGTTGAAAACAAATTCAGAGTTAGTGTTCTTTAAACTGAAAGAAAAAATTGAGGCAAGGAAGTTATATCTATTTAGGTGCTAAATAATCCTCTAAATAATCCCCTATAGTCCAATAATGCATTGATTCGATAAGTAATCTTTTTCACCACAATCCAATAATCCCATAAGCTGATTCGCTTAATCCAACGAATAAGATTCACAATCATGTCAATGCTCACAGAGGTAAGGAACTTAGTGCCATTCAAATGTAATCAAACAAATGGGGGAAAAAATCATGGCCAAACAGAATAGGCACTTAAAAAAAATTTGCAAGGAGATGAATGATAGGGTGACTGGGTGATGAAGCAAAAGGATCTCAAAAGCATCACAAAGAGGGAAACAAAGCAGGGGAGGCGATGGTTACTGTGCAAAGGTGGTTTGGGAGTGCGCACAAACTCGTTTATATCTGCTGAAGGCTGGAGGTCTGGAGAATTGAGCCCTACATCATCAAACTGATGATGAGCATAGCTGAGCATATAATTCGGAGAAACGACCGGAGTCAGCTTGGTTCGGTCAGGGCGCCATTGATACCCGCTGTGCGCGAATCCAAGCTTAGGAGCGTCCAAGACTGAAAGGAGGGGGAGGTCCAGGTGTGTAAAACGGGAGCTAGACGGAAAATTTTAAGCTTTAAAAGAGTGCCAAAGCTAAAGGATAATGTACCTTCCAGTAAAGCAAATGATTACACCAACACAAATTTCAGTCCTAAAATGCCCTAAACCTCATTGAGGTTTATAAGCTTTTATTAATAAGATACGGAGTAATTACAATTAAAATTATAGAAATAAATATTATAATTATAATTAAAATTATAATTATAGAAATAAATATAACTATAAATATAATTACAATTATAATTATAACTATACTTATAACTAGTGTAATACGTATAATAATAATTTTACCTATTATAATTATGTTTGTAATTATAATTATAATTTTTATAATTATGATTATAATTATAATTATATTTAAATTATATATGTGTAATTACATTTATAATTATAGTAATTATAATTGTAATTATAATTTTAGAAATATTCAAATCAGATCAGATTAGAAAGATTCAGATTAGATCAGAAACATTCAGATCAGATCAGGAACATTCAGATCAGATCAGGAACATTCAGATCAGATCAGATCAGATCAGATCAGATCAGATCAGATCAGAAAGATTCAGATCAGATCAGATCAGAAAAATTCAGATCAGATCAGATCAGATCAGAACTTAAAAAATTCAGATCAGAAACATTGAGATCAGGTGAAGAGAACAGCTTCTTAGAATCTCAGTGGCATCTCATTATTTTGAAATTTGAACACTTCACAACCCCTTTCAGTAATTTGCTCTTTTTTCCATGATTATTTTCTTTTGTTCAACTACATAAGACAAATTAATTTTTTTTCTTCAAAATCATTAGCCTTGAAAGAAAAGACAACCTGTAATTTCGGCCTTTGCCTTTCCCTCACTAAAGCATATAATTACTTGAGTTGGTTTTGTTTCTTCTTCTCAATCTTCAGCTTAAAATATTAATTTCTGTCCATTTTAAATACTTTACTATGTTAGTATGTTGTGTTCTAATGGAAGCATGTTTTCGTAGCCCTAAATAAATGATTTGTATCCTTGTTATAATATTATTATCATCATCATGATTAATAATACTAATATTACTATTGTTCTTACTTTGGGAATAACAAATTGTTCACAACTAATAGATTATCATGGTATTGTTTAACCATCACCATCCTCATCTATAACAAGATTGCACTGCAGTTATGAATTTTTAAATAATTTTGAACAGCAGTTTCTAATCCATGATATGAATCCAAATTAAAAAACTGCACATTATGTCATGGAGTTTGAGTTTTGTTTTTACTTTTATGTGTCTGCTTTCATAAACCTGCCCTTTAATTTGTCAAAATCCGGTTATTAATAAAGACTTGACTAATTATGTTTAATGTCTCATACTATAAAGCATGTTTAGGTTGACCGTACAAGGTACATGTTGAGATATATTATCTCGGCCTACTACTACTGTTTAGGGGCCCAGGACATTCCCCACTCTGGAGCCCGATCGATGAGGCCCACTTCAGCCTATCAGGCATGTTACGGTCCGTTGGGCCCATTTTGGCGCATTTGGCCCGTTAGGGCAACCTAGTACCCCTCCCCTATGTTCTATAAATAGGAGCTTTGTAATAACTCCATTAATGGAAGCTTTTGTACTATGTAACAAAGGGTGAGGAGAGCATTAATAAAAGGTTAGAGCTTGGACATTAGAATGAAAAGTCCATGATTTTCTCCTTTTCGGGCTTCCACATAAAAACAGAAAGTTCATACATGTTTATAATTATATTTATTATTTCGTGTCGGATTAAACTGAACAGTATATCGTATATCGCATAGTGCATTGACAACATAAATTAATGCATATAATTATGAGCCCCTTTCTTTAGAGGCTACAAAGAAGAGGAAGCCCTTAACCATGGACTAAAAAACATCACAAAATAGGCGCTAAAAATGTGAGTGGTTGATATTTTGTTCCAACTCGCTGGGTATAAGATTTAGGCACTACTAACGAAGATATCTTGATGAGCAGTTCATGTTATCTACTGACGTAAATTATCAAAGTTGACCGCAACTTCGGGTTGTGCATCTCCTTTGGCGGGGACTTTTGGCGCAACTCTCGGCATTAGACAATAGACAGCATACTTTGAGAAATGAACTTTTTTAAAGTCCCGGCAAGATCAGCTTTCAAAGGCAAGAATCCGCCATTAATTTCTCGCTCAAGCTAACACTATGATACCAACTCTCAGGACTACGGTTTACGGAGTATTTCATTCCTCATTCTCTCTCAAGTCTTAACGCTTTATTTCTCACAAGCTTCATATTCCTTACTATCTCCTGTTTCTGAATTACTCTCTATACTAAGCGCATTCGTCTTGGAAAGAAGTTAAGGTACGAGCTCATATTAAATTGATACGGAAATGGAAAGAAGTTACTATTTTATTCCGTTGCAGAGTAGTACCCATAGTTAATTTATTCACTGATCGTTCAATTTCATTGCTCAAAAGTATGATTTGTGTAAAAAACTGAAAACCCGGAGGTCATTCGATTCACTGTTTAATTCAATGCGTGGTCTTGTTGAGTCTCAATACACCCTTTTTAGGAAAAAAATCAAATTTTCTGCTTCTCTTTGAAGTGCTTGGTGCTCTGATTTTTCCTGAGCCAGATCCCCTGCCTGGTTTAAAGCCAGGAGTTTAAGGGTAAAATGATCTTTCTACACCCTCATTTATGCAGCCATTGCAATTACAGTCTATCCTTACTTTTGCAAAAAAATATGACTAGATAATGGTCATAGTTTGATGGATTTTCCTCAACTATATCAAGTTTAGTTCCCCATTGGTTAATGGTTGACAGGGAGAGATGAAAAGGCCACAACAAGTCGGGTTGTAGGAATGTGAACATTCCCATACAAGAATGTTATTTAGTGCAGTTGCAATAGGTCTGGATTTGTAGTTTTTAAAAAGAATTTGGAATTTTTAAGGTTTAACAATGAGGAAATGATAAAAAAAAAAAGGGCAGCCCGATGCCTATTATTATCATTATCTCATTTGTTAAACCTTTCAAAGTCCAAATCCTTTTTAAAGATCACAAACGGATGAGGTAATGATACAACAAAAATAAATACAAAAGATTGTTATCTAATTACTAGACAATACAAAGTACATTCTAACTCCTTTTGATCCCACCACAGTTTTTTATTTGCTTGTTTACCAATTTTCCATATGTGGGTATAGGTTTTGTATCTTGTCATAGATGGATATGGATTGTGGACTTAGAAGGTTGCCCGGCTCCTCTTTAAGCAGATTCAAACCGGAGAGGGAGGTCAATTTTTCTACCGTTCAACAATCTTTAGATATTCCAGACATTCACAAGGATGCCCCTTCAATTACACACTCTCCTAACCGTGGTACTTATTCTCCTACTGTCGACTATGATCCTATTCATAAGTACCTTATACAGTTTCTATTGGAGGAAGAGAGCATTGATGGGAACAACCCAGACATGTCTTTTGATCCCAGTGCTCTTAGTGCTGTTGAGAATTTCTTCCATGAAGCCTTGTGTTACAACCCTTCACCGTCTCGTGACAGCAATGCAGGAAGCTCCGGGTATGATGTTGAGCATCATGATCTCAATAACTCTGACACACTCTGTATTGTTGATCCTAGAGAATCTAAATCATCTGTGGCAAGTGATCATCCCGATGTTCCCATCGAGCCATCGTCAAGTCGGGCTAACTCTGACAGTGCAATGGTTTCTCAAATGGATGCTTTCCTAAGTGCTAACTCGGTTCCAAAGATATCTTGTAATGATGATATTGGGTCCATCTTGCAATTTAAGAAAAGTGTCCTTGATGCTAACCGATTCTCTCAAGCTGATAAACACTTGGTTATTGATTTGGATAAATACTCAGTTTCTCCACACGGTGAGGAATTTACCAGAGATTATGTTTTCAAAATACAGAAGGGCCTTTCAGCTGATCTGTGTATAGGAAAGAAACATTACCATCCAGACGAAAGTGGGTTAGACGAAGAAAGCAAAAGAAAGCACTCTGCAATCTATAAGGAGGAGGTTGACTTATCGGAAGTGTTTGATAAAGTTTTGCTGTGTACCGATGATAATGATGATCCATTTAAAGTCAGCACACAACAGAAAAGGCGAAGTGGCTGTAAGAGCCATTTAAAGAAACGAAGCGATGATAGTGAAATTGTGGATCTAGAGTCTCTTTTGATGGGCTGCGCACAATCTATTGCTGCTGCTAATTATAGGGATGCAGCAGATCAGTTACAGAAGATAAGGCAGCACTCTTCACCTACCGGCGATGCAAACCAGAGGATGGCCAATTATTTTGCTGACGGTCTTGAGGCTCGACTGGCTGGAACTGGGACACAGCTGTATTTGACTTCTCTCGATAAAGCCATACATGTTGAGATGCTAAAATCCTACATGTCTTCTTGGCCATTTATGAGATTATCAATTTTCTGTGCAAATAAAATGATTTATGAAGTAGCGTCAAAAGGTGGATCGCTGCACATTATAGATTTTGGCATTCTTCATGGTATCCAGTGGCCCACACTTATTCGGGATCTTTCACAAAGACCCGGTGGCCCTCCAAAACTTCGAATAACAGGGATTGAGCTTCCCCAGCCTGGTTTTCGTCCATCACAAATGGTAGAGGAGACTGGTTGTCGTTTGGCAAAATATTGTGAGCGTTTTGGTGTACCATTTGAGTACAATGCTATAATAATAACAAATTGGGAGAGACTTAAGATTGATGATTTGCAGCTTGTGAGTGGTGAGGTGATTGCTGTGAACTGTTTGATTCGATTCGAACACTTATTGGATGAAACAGCAGTTGGTGCGGACAGCCCTAGGGATGCTGTTCTAAACTTAATCTGGGAAGTTAATCCTCATATATATATGCAAACCGTTACTTGTGGATCTCAAAACTCTCCTTTCTTTATAAGTCGGCTTCGAGGAGCTCTCTTCTTCTATAGTGCTGCATTTGATTTGCTTGATGCTACTTTACCGCGCCATGCCAATCAGAGACTGAATTTGGAAAAAGAAGTTGTGGGACGCGAAATAATGAATATCTTAGCATGTGAGGGAAAGGAAAGATTACAAAGGCCTGAAACATGCAAGCAGTGGCACTCTCGCATCATGAGGGCTGGGTTCAAGCCCATGCTTATAAACCCTACAGTTGCGAAGAATTTAAGCCGCTGGGCAAGGGAGGGATATCACAAAGATTTTCTGTTTCTGGAAGATGGAAATTGGATAATGCAGGGATGGAAAGGTCGGATTCTGGGCGGCACCTCTTGCTGGGTAGCTGGACGAGAGACTCACAACCTGTGATAGTTAGAATGGTAACTATTGGTAAGTAGTGTTTCTCCACATTGGGAACGTTAGAGTAACCTTTCAGGCAATACTGCAATTATTATTTCATGTTTTCTTTGGTTTCCATTTTTGTATAACACCGCTTGCTAGTTATTTCCATGTAAGCTGTTTGAGAACATCATTCATGGCGGTTCTCTAGTTCTGGATTTTCTTATCTTATTAAAATAAGTGAGATAACATATTATGTTTGTCTAGCTTCAGACATAATTTTTGTGAAAAGCTTACAGTCATATGTAATATGTTTTCATGAAACTGCATTATCAATATTTTGGATGTACTCAAAGATAACACATTCTCCAATACTTCGCTTTTAACAATAAGTTGGCATCCATTGAAGATTCCTAGATAAATTTGTGGCGGTCTGTGGATTATGCATGGATATTCTCTACTGAGATTCCTCATAGACTCATCTATTATTATCTAAAGAGACAGTTTTTGTGGGAATAGCGTTCCCCCCCATTTGTGTCAACATCATGCTTTTATCATTTTTTACCTCAAAAAAAAATACCGAATCAATTTGTGTTCAAAAATTACAGTTCCAGCCCATTCATGAATCGTTTTGCTTTATTGTGGTTGGTGAGAATCATGGTGGCAAGATCTCAATTCGTACGTGTGAACAGTCTGTGTTTGTTTTTACTTGATTTTGATTGGTTTGAAGGGTGGTGGAATAGTGATTAGATCTAATCCTATTGGTTGAACTTGGTTGGCAAGATCTGAACGTACAACACAATATCACGTTTTGTATTTTCCTTGAAATTTATTGGTTGGTTTGGGTGGTGGAATAGTTAGTTGATTAAGGGTTTGTGGGCTCAACCGGCAATATAAGTAGAAGAGGGTGCAAACACAATCCTCATCAACATCACAAAAAAAACCTTTGTGCTTAGTAAATTCTTTGATAAAAAAATGGTGGGAATGTGGTCTATGATTAGGCAGCTCGATCAGACAAAGACAACATGGGCCATTAAGGCCCGGGCTACAAGGGTTTATCGAGAACCCGCACATGATGGTTTTCCCCCTTCTATGGAAGTCATCTTCCACGATGAAGAGGTGTGGTGAAGGCCTTTCATTTTTTTGGGAATTGCTGTACCAATATTCTGATCATAATGTTTTCTATTTTTCAGGGTTCTAAGATTCACAGTCACATCCCTGATCAGTTCATCCCAAAATTTTTTGGTCTGTTTAGGGAAGGACGTGTTTATGCAATAAAAAATTTTATGGTAGAAGAAAATTTCATGTTTTTTAAAACCACTGCAAGCGCTTATAGGCTACGCTTCTTCAAAAAGAGTGAGGCGTTTGAAATCAGGGTTCTGTTTCCCTTGAGAACATTTTCGTTGGTGTCCTTCGCTGCGTTGCAAGCGCAAGACTCTATCGACGACAGGGCAGCGATTGGTCATTTTTTTATAAATACGTTATTGTGTGTTAATAATTGATGCTATGTTATGACGACAGTCAATTGAGTTATATAATTATGTGTCATATAGCAGATATCATTGGTCAAGTCGTCCATGACAAGGATCCCAAGACAATTCTAAAAAACGATCAGCCTAAAAAGTTGGTTGAGCTAATCCTTGGAGATACAGAGTTAGTAATTTTGTGAATAGGGTTTACCACACGCATTCACAACTAAAATTGTTCTAATACCTCTAATGATATTTTTAAAGGGGTAATGTCATTGGATGCACTCTTTGGGGTCCTATGGTTGATATGTTGTTGTCGTACAAACTGACTACGGGCGAACCTATTGTCATGTTGCTTCAATGCTGCCGGGCTAAAAAATACCAGGGTATTTGTTTCCTTATTATTTACAAGCTGTTTTGCAATTAAAATTAGTTGGCAATGTTTTTTAATTTAATTAAATCAGGTCAAGTGCATGTATCCAACATGTTTAATACAACCAAGGTTATTCTTAACGGGGTGGAGGATGAGTTCAACGATTTTAAAACAAAAATGGCTTCAAGATGTGGGGAAGGTTTGAGCTTCACAATTGCATCTGATACCTCAAATGACGCTGACATTAGTTCTGGTCAGATTCAGTTGGTAACTATTGAGCAACTCACTAAGATGGAAGAGGTTAGGTCCTGACCATTTATATAGGCTTTAGCGATCTTGGGTTTTTAACCAAACTTTGACTGACTTTGTATATATGGTTTAATAAGGATGGGAAGCACTGGATATATGGAGAGATTGCTGGCATTGATAACCACAAAGAGTGGTCTTATGTTTCGTGCATTGGTTGTAACCGTAAAGTGACTCCCAATGGTGACGGGTATCAATGCCTCTCTTGCAACTCCTCAGACGCTGTTTTGAGGTGTGATTTCACAAAGACCTATTTTCATTACTTAAATTTATTGCATCTAAATACTATTATTGGTGTAGGTACAAGGTCAACATTCGAGTGGTTGACACATCTTCGCACGCGTCATTTCTGCTCTGGGACAGAGAGGTGTCGTGCTTGATTGGGCGATCTGCCACGTCGTTGAAAGAACAAGTAAATAAGGTCAAATTGTTATTTTGTTAAAACTTTTGGGCAAGTGTTCTCAATAACCTTCGGGACACATTAATAACTCCTAATTTTTTATTTAGAGGAATTTTGGACCCAATTACTTTCCTTCTGAGATCAATGCTTTGATGGACATCAAGGCCCTCTTCCGCGTTCAATATAAACGTGAGAGCAGAAATTTCAAGGGTAATCAGACCTACAGCGTTCTTAGGATGAATACTGACCCTAGAGTTATCTCACTCTATGTGAAGGAGACCACATCAACCGAGGTTCCATGTCTAATCTTCACTCTAACGTTTCAAGTATTAGTGTCCTTTATCCTTGATGAATTATGTATACTGGTGTGTTTGTGTGCTTAAACAGGAGGAGGATGAATTTTCTTTGTTGAAGCGGGAGTTTGGTGGTGGAGAAAAGGTAAAAGGACTTCTCTTTTTATATGTTGGCATCAATTTTTAGGTGAGGTAAAGTGATGACCTGCGTCTCAATTCCAGGTTGTGTCTTCAGAGCAAGTGATTTCGAACAGTCCATTGCTGGACAAGGAGCAGAGAAATGCTTTGGATATTGATACCGAGAGGATCAAGAGGAATCTGTTTGGGGAAACATCATCCACCGACGCAACTAAAAACGTGCCGCCAAAAAAGATGAAGGGAATCAAGATTGAGGGATCTAAAAAGTAATGCAACTCTGTGGATTAGTAATAAGATTGGGGTTTGCGTTGGATATCGATAAGTGTTTTGGGGAAGACCTTAAATAAAACCTTCAGGGTGGAGAATGATATAAGGAAAAGATATGCTGCGATACATGTGGTCAGCGTCTCCAATGTTACCCTTTTTTTGTATTTTGTTAGCTGATAGCGCAGTACCTAAAGTGCGATATACATAACGCAGATACCCCTCCTACGCTACTGTATGATGCATACTAAGGTGAAATATGTGGGTTCCATATTAACGTATGGACGCCATTTAATGTAAAATATAAATGTATGAACTCTATGTTGGGTCTATGTATTTTACTCCAATACTAAAAGGTGTTTGCGATCCAATGTAAAATATTTATGGGTAATTTTGTGGGCTGCTTACCTATATACATCACTATAAAACCCAGACAACACAGTGCAAGTGTCCTTATACATGGATTGCTAAATCATTTTGTCCAAGGCGATATGTTGTTTTATAAAGGCCTTGGTTATTTGTCAATTGGAGTATAGGACAGTTAGCCAAGAAAAGTAAATCATGTGCGATGCAGGGATTATACTAAAAAGTCCCTGTGGTAAAGGTTATCTAACCTATGCAAGCTCGGCATATAGAACATTAGTGAACAAATGTTTCGGCACAAAACAGATTGTATTCTACAATTAGAAACGGTAACATTGGTTGACATTTCTGGAAAGTCTATACTGTTTGATAATTTTAACATTTGATTATAAAAAAACCGGGGAATATAGTTTTCACTTTGGGTAATTAAATGCTCAAGTATTTGAAATTAGTTTTCACTTAAGGTAATCTCATATTTATACCATTTTTATAATTCCATGCAGATACTGATTAGTTTTCATGACAAATAATTTACTCCACGTTTTCGTTAGATAATAATAGATGGCATAGCCAAATTGATAGTGTAGCCAAATATATTTTATTTGACAATGTGGAGATAAATTATCTAGGATCTGGGTGTGAAAGGCACCATTGGTTACTTTTTCTGTGAAATACAGTACTTTGGTGTATTATTATTGGCTTGAGTGTAAGTAATCATAATTTTTCACTGTTCGTTGCCTAAAATTATTGTTTTGCTGATCCTGTGCAGATTTTAAACAGTGTTTGATGTGAATTATGTGAATGGGTTTTCACGCTACAATTTATTTTGAGATTTGGGGTTCTGAATTAGTTGTATCTCTTATTACTTTTGGTAAATCTTTTCAATAAATATACTCATTTACCCTCATTCTGTTTCCTGCTTTTTTGTTTTTTTTACCACTTTATTTTCACGCAGTCCGCGACATATGTTTTCCTGCCCTTATTGATTTCATCTTAATTTTTGTGCCAATCCTATACCCATCTATTATAGTTTTATTGATTTCATCTTAAATTTTGTGCCAAACCTATACCAATCTATTATAGTTTATGGCCGTATGGGAGTGTAAGTACATATATTCTGCGAACAGATATTATATGAACAGGATTAATAGATTTTTTTCCAGGTTGATTGTGTGGATGCAAATGCTGCACATCACCAATTTAGGGAGAAATCATTGCTATTCTGACTTGGCCACACCTAATTCTTTTTCCATTGGTTGCTTTGGGGATCCAAACAGTGTTTGAAGTAAAAATAAGTGTTTAGTCTTGGGCCTATTCCGTGTAATAATGCAATTGGGATTTGTTTGAGATTCTAGGGAAAGCAAGTACAAAAATCGATTACAAATCCTAATGATCTATATATAATCCCCTAGGGTAGAGTTTTGTTTAACATAACCTTCTCATATTCCTCTTCCTTTTATGTAGTTCATGTATCATCTTCCCTAGCCTACCTCATCACTTTTCAGGCTTCAAGGATCAAGGTTTGGGTGAGTCTTACTATCTGTGTTGACATTTAAATACAGTTTCTTGGACATGTTTTAAGTGTAGCTGTGGTTATCATTCCTGAAAAAATAAGTTTGTTAGGATTTGTGGTTTGTATCAA